CCAGTAACTACCCAAGTTTCTTACAGTTATCTAGAAATTTTAAATGCATCTGAAATTAACAATGGTTTATTTTTCAAGTGGAATGGGCGCGATATGTTGCTAACACTGATGTCATATTGCTTTCCAGCAATATAGTCGGGTCTATATTTACATTTCGCTTGGGATAAGTGCCAGCTGGTCAAATCCGACCGTTTGATTCGGATAACCAGCACTGAAGATATTCTCACTAAATATATTAAAATCAACCAGGCAACTCAATTAACGAATGCTAAGTCTAACCATATTGAAATTCCCAATTATTTGAAATACATTAACTAATTACTTACTTCGAAAATTTACGACACGGTTTCGAGTCTAATATCATTTTGGTTTCATTTATATTCAAATTGGATAGCTTCTTTTCAACGTTCAATTTAACTAAACAGATGCCACATGCCTCAAAATGTCAAATATTTTACATGGACGATGTTAATTAAGTTACCTTTCAAAAACTTTCCGGGACGTCGTACAAATTACAAACCGGGTCAAAAAGGGCTTTCGTACTTGTACTTTCGTTATCAAGGTCCTTTTATTAAAAAACAAAAGCTTTGACCGCAATTGGTCGGTGTTGAGAAATTCAGCTCTTTTTAATAAAAATAGGTATACCGTTCGGGGTTTCGGAAAAGCCTATAATTAAGACTATGTCGTCAGAATGTCACAGGGCAGGGTTCTTTGAATCCTACCGCATCCACTGAAAAGTATTGTTTTATATAATGCGCCCTTTTTAGTTACGGGGTTTTCTTTCACAATTTGACGGAGAAATCGTATATACCGTATTTTAATACCGGTTGCTTCCACGTTAAGTCTAGAAAACAAAAATATTGAATAAGAATAGTTTATTTACCTAGTTCTACCAGCGTATTTTTTGTCTATGTATTTGCAATGGCATTGCCAACTGCATTATGAAATTGAATAGCAGATACCTAACCCACCTCACTCACTATGAATTTTCCACATGAGCAGAGCGTTATATCACAAACAATGGCGACCAGAATCGATTGTCGGACCATGGAGCAACTTCCTGAGTAAAATCTAAATGACTGAATGATTTCTGCAACGTATAAATAATAATAAGGACAGAGAGGATTCATCATATTCGGTGTTATAATAATTTTATTCGTTAAACAGTATGAGCCTTGTAATAAACTTCTAGAGTTCAATATTTATTTACTTACATAGCTTATAGTCAACTATAGTATGTTGTTAACTGTATAAACCCTGTATCAATTTAAACAAGTAGTATAAAAATAGCATTTGTGATCATGTATCAAGAAATTGTTTGTTTTACATTCTGTATGCAAACACCGTATCACTCAAGCTTATCAACATGGCACTATAACAGCTGGCCGCCTACTTAAACCATATTGTTATGACCACACCGAAACGATTAAGTTCGTTGACATAAGTCGTGCTGCCTGACGTCCTGTGACAGTCCCATACAATAACGACATTGATAAGCTCGCACAATATACAGGAAAATATACACTTATTATAGGAATGAACTCTGACAATATTATCGCATTTTATTTTGCATGGTAATAAACTGTAAAACTACGTAAAAAACCGGTAATCGTTGAAAAATAAAACTCCTTACCAGTTCCGTTTTCCGTAAAGAGTGTGATCCGTATAACAACCAATTGTAAGCACAGCAGTAAACACTTTCAGAACACTTAACCGTTGTTTTTCATGCACTGTTAGGAAAGGCACAATGCGTGTAAACATGCGCGTGCGTCGCCGTATACTGACGGGAGCTGGGATCAACACGGACGGATGTGTGACGATGATTCAGAAAAGCGGGTGTCCGCCAACCGTTCTCTAGAAACTTTACGATTGCCGAACTACTGGTCTTATGAGTGAACGCAGAGTCCGACCGACACTGAACTGTAGCTGTGGCCTATGACTCACTCATTACGGAGTGACGTACAACACATGAACGATGACAGCATAAGTACGATACGTGTAACAGAACATGACAACTGAGCCAATGCTACACCGATAATGTTCAATACTCATGCATTTTTAACTCCACCATTGCCGAAGGTTGAATTGTACGTGCATTGCGTATGCACTCCGACCTTCTCAAAATACATAGACGACTAGTAGTGAAATACTTAGGTCATAAAACTGAGTACACTGTTACATGTATATTTTTAGTCGTATCAATAAATAAATACGTTAAAGGAAAATACAATAAATTGCATTATTATCACAACCGACGCACATAATATAATTTATACGCTCGAACAGTTATTATTATTTTTACATAATAAAACAAATGGCGGTTTACATTATTCGTTTGAATTAACAACGTGACATTTTTTAATGTTTTTACTTATGAAACGAACAAATAATTATTTACCGACATCAGTCAATGAAGAATTCAATATCTTTATTCAATACGGGTTAAAATATGATAAGGACGATCATATAACGCTTACTAAGCTTTTGAAATACAAAAGCAAATATATATTCCATGATTGAATTCGGCTTGGTTTTCATAAATATTACTGTCGGGTGTCATTTGATATCAAACATCTTTTACAATTTCATAAAGCAAATCCCTTATTAGTATTCCGAATATTTTATACCGAATTAAGATTACAAATTGCGTACCTTTATAGTTTACATATCAAAAGACTTGATAGAAGGGAATATTAAAAGTATTTATATAAGTTACTAGCGACCCGCCCCGGCTTCGCACGGGTGCAATATGTTTATACATACAAACCTTTCTTAAGAATCACTCTATCTATTAAAAAAAACCGCATCAAAATCCGTTGCGTAGTTTTAAAGATCTAAGCATACATACGGACATACAGCATTGTTTTATACTATGTATTGATTAATCTAGTAAGATTGATAATTTTTAGCTAATTAAAATAATCTATAAATATTTTAAAAGCACCTTTGTAGCTCTCTATCTGGAATTTAGATTCAGTTTACAAAAAAAAACATAAATCCGAAACTTCTCTTTTACAACTAATACACAAAAATATTCACCACCTGCCCTTTTCCCCAGACATCAGTTAAGCCGTAATGCACAGTAAAGTCATATTTCGTCTGTTAATTTATTAGTCCCAAGTGACAGGGGACGAGCCTAAAACCAACTAATTAAAAATAAACATACTTCATGTTATCTATGAATTATGGAACCATAATTATCTTGCCTACAGTGAGTAATCTATCGTAAATAGCTTTTATCATCTCTTTACACCAATAATGCTATTTTATGTGATCTATACGCAAGGCCCCAGGGAGCAAACGTCAGGCGATAGAATGGGCCGTATGGGTTCACATTTCTCGTTCGACATTAAAGGTCAATGCGAGAAACAAATTTCCGAATAGACAAAAAGAAAGTCACCGGGAAACTTTCAGACATGAGATTCGAACACCCGACGGCTGAAAATTGAGTTAATTTTGTCGATGGAAAGTTTCAGCCACTCAGAAAAACCTTCGAACGGTTTGTTTGTAACATTGTAATCAATTAAGTCTAAGTATATCACTTTATGATAGTCTAAAAATATAAAATGGTTTTCGATAATATTTCTGCTAATATGTTCATCTATATCTGCTGTCTATCTTTATGTTCATCAAAAGACACTTTCACAATTAAGTATTCTATTTAAGTAATTTAACGTTGAAAACTAACGACTTATCTGAGCCGGCAATAGATACTGTAAAAGTTTCATTAAAATCAACTAGTTTATTTCAGGTTAATAACTTAGACCTAATTTTAGTTTTCATGGAATTCATTACGCGTTGTATAATCCAATGAGCTTATTTGTTCCGGCCGGAATTTAACCTATATTAGACATAATTAGTTTAAAAAGAGGCAATATTTAAAGTCATTAAGTAATGAATTCCTGAATAAGAATAAATATCGGTACTATTATACGTTATTATCGGTTCACTTCCAATAGATATCCGTTTTATTTTTTATTGTTGCGAGTGTAAGTTAAAATTGTAGATGTGGTCCCAATTTTTTTATCAATACTTAAACTGTCAAACACCAAGCGGTCACCGGTGACCGCAACCTATTGTTCTATAATTGTGTCTAAAAACCGGTACTCGACGAGTTAAAAAGTATATTAACCGAATTCAAAAAAATTAAATATTGAAGCTTCTTTAGTCGAGTGTCTAGAGCATCACACTATATTTACTAGGTTTTTTGAACATACAATAAAGCTGTAAAACTGTACCCTGGAAGTGATAACAAATATTATTAATCTAGTACTTCAGTGGTTATAGTATTGTCTGTTAATGTCATGCGACAAATGAAGGTGAAGTGTCAATTGACACAACCACCCATGTCGCCGACAGTATTGGTATCATAAAAGAGTTAACTCACCCATGACTATCGCTAATAAATTAGTTCATACCATAACTGAATGACTTTGCACGCCTACCAATATCTGGTTACGAGGCTGCTCTTAAACAAAACGAAAAGGATAATTGATTCGCAACTTTCTTCTCTTCATCCAACTAGAAAATGAATTAGCTATCAAATATCAAACTAATGAAGATTATATCCTCCTTTCAAAGTTTAAAATAAACTACTAACTATTGTTTTTTTTATTATTTCAGTATCATTCCAGTCAACAATTTTTTTTTAAATTGCAAGTCGAGTATATAAAAAGTCATTTTTATTAAAAAAATCTACTATTTGGTAACAAATTGTACTGTAATATATGTCAAACGGATCTGTTCTCAATTTTATTGATTAAAGTTGAAGTTCGTGAGAAGCAAGACAATTTGGGTAGCGGCCAAAATAATAGATTTTCGTATATATCATTGGAATCTTTCTGGTCAACAAGGTAGTAACATTTAAGATTTGTTCTGCTTGAAGTTCTAACATGATAACTTAGTGTTATATAAAAACCATTTTTAAAAGTAAATGGTTAGGATTTGTTTTGTGGAAATTGCACAATTAAGGTCATAATTATAATAACTTGAATCCTCACCTGGATCTGCAACCACTGGACCGAGTGGATCAAAGCGAACACGATGTTCTACAGCAGCCCGTGCAGCACAAACAAGATCCGAAAAAAATCTATGCCTCCTTAGTGCTAACTCATCCCGGCCCACTGGAGTAGCTGGCGGATCTCGAGGTCCTTCATTTTCCCCAGTTTTGGTCACACTTTCCTCAAATACTTCGTCATCTTCTGTATCTGATTCTTGTTTGCTACTAGGTCGATGTTCTGACCCTCCATTGGTGCTATTGGTTGTTGATTTTAAAATACCAGTTGACTTGCGTCGACCTCCAGGACGCACATCCACATTTGTCCGAGCGAGTTCTTGTTCAAGACGAGCTAATTCTTCCAAAGTAGCAGAGTCACGTCGGCAATCAACAGAAAATCGTTTAAAATCCAAGCGAGTCCTTTTATAGTCAACCGAATATCTCTTTCTTGTCAACTCTTTTTTTGGAAGCACAAGATCTAAAGTATCCACTTCCCCGGCTTCACTGACAGAATCATTATGTACCTCGTCATCATTATTTTCTACGTCCGTGTCTTCGTGAACAGTGGCCATTTCCGAAGATTTTTGTTCATTACCCTCTCCTAAATTAATGTCTTTTACAGAATCTTTGTTTGTTAGTGGTAATTCTTTCTTTTCCGGAGTATTGTTATCCTCAATATCAGGCAACTTTTTTTTTGTATTTTCCGAGTCAGATTCAGAATTTGAATCCATTTTTTCTGATTTAGATTTACTTTTACTCATTTTTTTACTCGGTCGAGCACAACAACTTTTAAACATAATTATTACGTAGAGTTTTAAAGTATAAATATCTCATTTGCAAACATAAAGTGATAAACTATGAACAATGTAACAAACGTTTAAATATCTTCTTTAAAATGCCATTTTATACATCAACAAAGTTTGTCAACAAATCGCAATTGTAGTATTAAGTCAAGGTTTTCAGTTAAAAGAAGTCGCAGGCCATACTAGTAGTACGGCAGGGTGGCGTACGTAGGGTCGGCGGCCAGCCGAGCGCGCGGCGGCGGGCGACTGACGGCACTGACGCAGGGCGGCAGGGCGGATGCGCCGCCCGCCCGGCGCATCCTGCCACCCGCGCCCGGCTACACCACGCAGCTCTTGAGATTTTGAGACCCAAACCGAAGCCTATTCTCTGAGTTTTGACTTAATGAGTCCCAGATACTTTGATTTGAAAAGTTATATTCTTATGTTTTATATAGTTTATCGTGATTACTTGTTGTTGTTTTCTTTTTAAAGTTACATATAAGTAAAATTATCTACAAATGGTTACGAAACTTTTATATCATATAATTTTTTCTTGCTATTTAACTGGTGATTGACTCAGGTAAGAACTGAGCCATTAGAGCAACTTAATTTCATAAATCGTTTGTATACAAATACTCAATTACCGAAATACTAGAAGCGATTGTACGTATTTAACACAGCAACAATTCTTTATAGAACCTTTAACGTCTCGACAACTGAAATACTGAAAACATTACCTAATTTATTTTTAGCGTTGCTGAGATAAAGATCTCAGCGTAGTCCTATAGACGTGGCAGTAATGGCCTTGGGCACAACACTACATTTTTACTGACAATACGGTCCTGGCTGGCTGAAGTTAATGACTCTCGGTTGGGTGCCTGTAGCCGACTTCCAGCGGAACGCGCCTGCGTCACATAGTACAAAACACCTATTACATTTTTTCTAAGATAAAACTAAGGAGTGCACGCTACAAAATTATTAATTCTGCCTCTATTTACACTACTTTAGCTTGTTTCAGATACGATAAGGTGTAAATAATATAAAATTTTGTGATCAGGTCATAAATAACTTTTCCTGAGACATCTAGAACTGTATATTTTGATCTTAGCACTATTTTTCACTTAGAAGAATTAAGTTTAGAACTAGTAATTATAAATTCGAAAGTCTGTGAGTTTGTATAATGTAATGTTTGTAACTCAATCACGTCAAAATAGCTGAAGGAATCGGAATGAAATTTATAACAGGGTGATAATAGGTAGATAGGCAGGGTCTAGTATAACATATAGGACACTTTTTATCCCACGGGACCACGGGCGAAGCCGCTGACAGAAGCTATTTAATTAATAACTGATTAATGAAAGTAAGCCTACTTAAATTGGCCATTTAAGATTTACATTCAATGTAAATTAAGGCCGGAAGCAGCGATGATACGCAAATAATTTAGAAGCTCTACATTAGAAACAGACCGTCATAATTATGCCGTAAAGTTGCTAACTAAATTTCAGGTAACCTTGTGTTCAGAAATATCTCGCTGTGGGAAGCTTCAAACATAACTCAACAACAATACAATAGCAATTACTTCGAAACTTTGTTTATGATTGTAGCAGTTTAGTGTCGAACATTCGAGAAACATTGCATACGTAACATAATTTACAGATAGGTACTTATGTTGGTTTTACAAAACTTACAACACCTATCACACCAACCATCTGAACCACGTGTACTATCCTTTGTACCTAATTATACAAATGCGAAAAAAAAAGAAAAGCATAGGTACACATAGCTTTTGTTTTATGTCGTCGCAACCAAGCATTTCTATGGTGTGGTTTTAAATGTTATAATGTCTAGAGATTGTTCATGAAGTGGTCGGAGAATCGGGGTTTTAGTGACAGGAGTTTTCTTTTAAATAACGCGTGCGAAGCCGCGGTTACAAAACTAAATATTACCTAAAGAATTCAATTTTTAAATCCTCGTAATAGGATGTTGCTTTCCATTACAGACAGTAATAGCAGCAGCGAATACCAGTATGAACAAAAGCAACGTAAAAGCTGTGGAAATATTTTCTTGAAATGTTCCATATTTCATAGGCATTCAAAAAGCGAATACGTTAGGGCACCCTCGGGAAAAGTAATAACGAACCCTGACCGCCGATATAAGAAGGGCATTATGTAAATAGGTACGCTAAAATATTGTAATGAAAATGTATTTCAATGTACGCCAATACTGAAGAAATTTATACTTATAACCAAATAAATGTTTTTAATAAAAATAACAAAATATAAAGATTACGTACACCAGGCAGTTTTGTCCAGAAAGGGTGCGGATAAAATTCTCACTTTTCGTACGTACTAATTAGGCGCAATTGCAACTTATTCGACTTCGTAAAAATTGCGTGGACCTAGGGAACCCACATCCTCCCCAACTTCGGGGGGCCAAACGCCTCCTGCCGGAGGTTATACGCCGGGGTCGTGCGGTCCATGGCCCTCTACGGCGCCCCTGGAAGGGTGGAAAATCATCGAATGACTGCTCCCGCCTGGGTGAGGCGGGAGGGAGTGTCAGACTCTTACTGACTAAAAACCACCCCGTTCCTTCTCCTGCACGTCGAGCCGGAGCCCCGGTTACCCGTTAGGTTCTCCGCGACAAAATACCTACAATAGGCACAAACCGGCGACTAACCCTGTATGCACTATGAAAATGCAAAAGTGAAAAAAAAGTGAAAATGAAAAAGTGAAAAATTATTGTAGATAGTGGAAAAAAGGCGGATAGGTCAGCTGTGAACTGGTAAATTGGGAATTATGTACGTCTATGGCACCTGCCGAAACAATAATAGTGATTATTACACGTACAACATTTGTGCATGTCATGAACAGATCTCTGTTCAAGATATTATGAAAAAATAAATAAATATGTAATATATGTTTATTTACCTATGGTGATTTGAGAAATGGACAATCAAATAAAAGGTATTGTTTTAAGAATGGACAATCAAATAAATGGTATTGTTTGAGGTAATAGATTAAGAGGTATTGTTAACCGCTTGACCACCTGGCGAAGTAGGCTGGACTCCAAACTATTACCAAGCCAGAGATGAAGATAAAGACACTTCAAATGTGATTCTTAGGGCACAATGTATGAAAATGTATGTGTCAAAATGGATGGAAATAGCCGCTACTACTAACTTGAACAAAGAACATAATTTGTATAAACTAAGTAATTGTCACATAAGTTTATCGATCTACCTACTTGTATGTGAGTAGTAGAACAGGTGCTTAAACCATTCAAACATTTTTCTTTACCAAAATCTTATTTCAAAACTGCCAATGTATTGCTCAACTTGGCGGGACTTGGCATTTCCACGCCCACAGATAATTCTTTAGTTTTAAAACTTAAGTATGGGTGCAAAACTACAATCAATAAATGGATAAATAGTGAATACATAATGTACCTAATTAATAATTAATATGTCTCTTACTTCTTCATAATAGGTATGTCACAAGTGTGTAGTATTTATATTCAATAAACCTCAATTGAAGTTCCTTAGCTACTGAAATGTGTACTCTAAAGCCATTACTGCATCAATGTAGTAAGTAATGAGTACCCTATAAGAAAATATTTTTATTTACATATACTATGCTTATATAAGTGTGTATTAGCAAAGTTTAGCATTATCGCAGATACTATATTTACATTAGATTATCAGAATATATTATGAATGTGTAACAAACATAAAGCTATAATCCAACTATAAACACTTGTAGAAAGGGGACTGTTTTAAAAGCTACTTCATAATTCTTTGTTTGTTTATATCTTTAGGCAAATTCCAAGAATCATTCAACCACAGAACAAATAAAGTAAACCCAAGAGTTTCATGGTATACAAATAAATACTGTGCTGTAATGTTTTTCCATTTGATTTAGCTATGTACCTACTACTAATAAGAATCCAGAATTGTAATTTAAATATAATTATACTTTATAGTCTAAAGGGCTATAGGTACTGATGGCTGGTGTCTTTGTACTTGAATTACTAAGCTCTAAATATAGTTATTGCCATAAGTAGGTGTATCCTGTGACAAGTACAGTTATAATAATTATGCAGCGAATCTAAAATCTAATTGAAAGTAAAGATAACTGTCCTCTCAAATAAATTGAGCTTTCAGTTTTCTGCTTTAAAATTCCATATAAATAGTGATTACCAAAAATCAAGGATAAAATTAGCGTTAGAGTAATTTAATAATGACTCGGCGAAGCTTATCTACAGTAGGCGTGTAACAAATAACGTAAGATATACATGAAGTAACAAATAGATAAAGGTATTTATTTACTCACAAGCGTTATCTCGTTTCGCTCACTGATTGCTGATATGACTGCTCGAATATTTGTTAATTCACTAATTGTTTACGTATAAAATAATATAAAATTCAGTCTTTTTAGGTTATTTGTCAGATTAATGGCTACAACAAAATCGGCATAAACCACAGTTATACGAACGAAACTTTTGCGCTTACCACAGATTATTAAAGTTAATCTGAATCTGAACTATTTGCATCAAACTTCTGTTTTTAGTGAAACTATTTTACTGATAGACCAGACAAAATATACGGAATCCTACATTGGTTTGTCAGAATATATTTTTGATAACTTATAAATTATTGAACATGTAATACCCTAGGCCCTAGCATAGTCTATTATCTAGCATGGAACTTAACAAGTTAGGTCAGATATCTTTACAGGTAGCAAGTAATAAACATAATTGGAAGGTACTGAAAGTTAGCTGTTATATACATGAGAGTTTTCCATGGGGCCTACCTAAGCACCTATCTAATAAAATGTCTTGATAAGAAAGACATTGAAGTTTTCATACCTAAGTTATGAGATACTTACAGTTAGATACCGATACGTACCTGATTAAGATAAGGAATTATCACTAGTCATCGAAGTGATTATTTATATTCTGACTAGCATTTATTTATTTATATTTTAAATGTCAATGCCAGATCCTGACCCAGTCATAATCACAGATTACTATATACTAGTCAGAGAGTCATAATATCATTTACAAAAAAAGTAAAT